TAAACACTGAGGTGCCCGCTTGGGCTGCGGCCGGGCCACGCCTCGCACTCTGGAGACGCGTCACCCGTTGCTGGGCAGAGAACTTGGTATTTGCATCTCCCAATCGCTGGCTGCCGGAGCAGGGCGGGACTCGGGCTGCAGGGCTGGGCGGTCTCCCGCCTGGGATTGGGGGTGTCGGATGAGATCGGTTTCTTTTCTTAGGCTGGGGACTGGAGGAATGGTGGAGGGGCGCTGAGCGTGCTTCCCATCTGGCTCCGAAACCTTGTCTCCGCCCTGCATTGCCTTTGAAATTTTAGCTTATTCAGTGACACCTGCCGCCAGGTAGGACTCCGCCCCCTTTCCCGGGGGCGTCTTTTTGGACCGTCCCAGAACTGAATGTGTGTGTGGGGCGGGGGGGCACCCAGGCTTAGGAAAGACTTTTAAGGGGACAGTTATCGTGTCACAGGTGTAGCCCCTGCTAATACACACAGGATCAGCCATATCGGGGCTCATCAAATGCTTTTAGACTCAATATACCCTTTCGAATTTTTTATCTCGTTCGAGGAGTCAGTAGAGTCCTGAGAAAGAAGGGACTATGGACGCTCGCCTCCCAATTAGAAAACACTGAAGACAAGCCAACTAAGGCTCGAATACTAGGCTCGCGGTCCCGGTTCTATTCCATGCACTGCGCACGGAGGGGCCGGGGCGCCTCGCCAACCAGTCGAGGGGCCTTAACAGCGCGGACTTCACGCTTTTCACAGCCCTCAGGCGATGTTCGAGGATGCGTGGGTGGCCCGCGCGCAGGTCCTACCCCACACCGCGGCCTGCCTGGTGCGGGACTAGGGCGCGGCGCTCCTTGCGTTTCTGGAGATGAGTGCGCGGGCACGGGGGCGGAGCCAGGCCAAGGGGCGTGTCCGCGACGCATGCTCTAGGCGCGTGGCGGGGAGGGGCTGCGCGCTCCCAGCTCACCACGTGTGAGGCGGCTCAGGCACCACTGGGCGTGTGCTGCCCCAGGGGTAGGTCACCTTCACGGCGCCTTGGGCCTGGGAAGTGGGAGAGGGCGCTGAGGCCTACCCTCTCGGAATCAGGAGTTAGGATGGGTCGGGATTAGGGTCTCTAAAGTGGCATTCTACTAAGGCGTGATGGGCACCATTCGGAGAGGAGGGTACATGTCTCTCTTAGTAGACCTTACCCACCACTCGGCGGGCGGGGACGGAGAGCCCACCCGGAGGGTGTAGGGCGGGAGGAAGGGTGGAGGTGCGGCTCCGCAGATGCGTGGGGCGGGTTGATGCTCTGGGTTCCCGGAGGAAAATTGGAGCAGCACCGGCGGGAGGGGGCAGCTCTTAAAGGCACAGGGCGCTTGGAAGAAGGCCCTGCTCCTGACCAAATGGTTCACTGAGGTCTGGCGATACCTACGTTTGACCATTCACAATGGCAGCGTGACTGGTTCAATGCTTGATGGAGTCAGAATTACTGTATTCACATCCCTGTACCTCTTTTCTTATCTTAAAACGAGGAGAAAAGCAGTTTCGCATATGGTTGTATTACACATTAAGTGGGATATTAGATGCAAACACATCTCTGACGCCTAGTAAATGTTGAATAAATATTAGTTTTCTGGTACTTAGGGTACCAACAACGTAGAGATACCAACTTAATAAGAAAAGATGGTGGAGATGGCTTTAACATTTCAAAAACTTATCAGAGGAGTGATCATGGGAAAAAGAAAAGCTTTTTTGAATTTTCTAACACTTTTCAAATTTTCCCATTTAATACTCATTTTATTTTAAATGACACGGACATGCCATCTTTTCAATGCTTTGGGCCTCTCAAAGGTCTTATTTTGGTCCTGAAACTGCTGCTATTGTTATTTTTATTATTATTATTTTACTTTTTATTTTTATTATTATTGTTACTACTACTACTGCTTACATACCGGCCTCCTGGATGTTCCTCAAACACAGATGGCTTGGTTCCACCGCAGAAGTTTTGTACATGCTGTCTCCTCTTGCTTGGAAAACTCTTTGCCCCGCTCCACACATGGCTGGCCCATCATTCTAGCTTCAGCTCAGGTAGACTTTCCAGAGAGTCTGCCCTGACCACTCTCTGCTCTTGCCTACCTGTCATCCTGCATCTCAGGTGGACAGAGTTGCTTGTCTGTGCCTCATTTTTCTCATTGCCCATCGTTGGCTCATGTTATGTTTGTATGTATGTATTTACATATAAAAACCAGTGAATTCAGCGACCCAGCACAAGCACAGAACATTGATAATAACCTGCCTTGCCCTATGAACTCCTTTTCTATCCCATCCCCTGCCTTTCCTTACCTGAAGTGATGTGTATCCTGAATCTTCTCTTTACATTTAAAAAAAACAGTTTTATGGAGATATAATTCATATATCATACTATTCACTCATTTAAAGTGTACAATTAAATGGTATGTTCAGAGTTGTGGAACCATCACCACAATCCATTTTAGAATATTTTCATCATCCCCAAAAGAAACTGTATTCATTAACAGTCACTCCTCCATCTCCTTTACCTCCTCTCTAACCCCCAGCTCTAGGCAACCACTAATCTACTTTCTGTCTCTATGAATTTGCTGCACCATTTTGCATCCTAACCAGCAGCATATGAAAGTTCCAATTTCTCCTTTCTCTTACTTTTTAAAAATATTTTCTTAAAATGTTTTCCCTTGCCTTTAGCTTTATCAAAAGGGTATCATGTTCTATATAATATTCTGGTATTTACTTTCTCACTCAATATTATAATGTTGATTCGTTTGTTATTGCACCTGTGTGAGATATGTTCATATTCCACTGTGGGAATATACCACAATTTTCTTACTCATTCTCCTGTCCATGGACATTTGGATTATTGCCAGGTTTTTGCTCTTAGTAAAAGTTTACTGTTAACAATCCTAGATGTGTCTCTGGTGTTCAAGTACAGGAAAGTCTCCCCAGTATCTCATGGAAAGTGTGATGGCACATCTGAGGACATGTGACTGCTAACTTTTACAAAGTAATGCCAAACTTGAATCATTTTACTTTTACACCAGCCACATGGAAGAGATCCTTTTTGTCCATATCCTGTCCAAAGTTTGGTACTGTCAGATGTCTTAATTTTGGTTGCATTATTTTCTTCCATCATTCTTTCTATTTTCTTCATAACACCTTCCATATTTGCAATTATTTTATTTGTTCACTTGTTTTTCGCCCGTTTCCCCTATGCTAGAATGTCAGTTCCAAAAGGGTAGAGATTTTTGTTTACTGCGTTATCCCTAGGAGAGTGCTTGGCACACATAGGTGCTCAATAAGTATTTATTGAGTGAATCAAAGTCTATGTTGAGTGCACTCAAATTCCTATGGAAGCCCAGAGAAGGAAGTAAAATTTTGAAAAACAAAACCCAAAACTCAACTATGCTGCTGAGATGTGGTTATAAGTGCACACAGACTCCCCTGGGTCCTTTCAAATGGGTGCCCAAGAGTCTAACCCTTGCAGGCCACAGGAGTTCAAGGCTGGGCTCACCAGTAAGCTGTTCAGTCCAGACTGCAGTAGGCAGGCGGTGAGGTTCTTGGAAAGCTGCTGACCACCACTGCCCCACCAGTTCAGGCCACCATCATCTCTCATCCAGGCACTTGCCCACCCTCCTTTCGCACCCAGCAGCAGGTCTTTTTCCATTCCATTCTCCTCCCAGAAGCCAGTGTGATGGGATTTTCCAGTCACAGATCTGATTATGTCTCTTACCTTCTTAAAACTCTTCAGTGGTTCCCCATTACTCTCAAAAGAAACAGCAGACTTTGGCCTGGCCCACTGGACCAAGCTTGGTCTGACCGCTGCTCACGCATCTTATCTCCTCTCCCACTTTCTTTGTCTTGAGTTAGCTTCCAGTCCCACGGGCCTCTTTTCAGTTCGTGGAATGAGCCTCATTGCATCCCCACACAGTATGTTGTCAAGTCCATTCCCTCACCCTTTTCACACTCCCACCTCTCTGCTTTCTTTTTGTTCTCCTACCTCCATGTTTCTTTTTTTCAGTGCACCAGTGGACTATTTAGCTCATTTGACACTTGGAACAGATCATTTTTTAATACCCACCTCCTCTAAATGACATTATTTTCAATAACAGTCATGAAATACAGTGAATAATACTGATAATGGCCAGAAAAGAAATGCAGATGGTGAAAATACTCTTTTATTGAACTTTGTATATGTAATGTCCCTAAAAATAAATATTACAGTACAAAAAAATCAATAATTAGATCAGTAATTTTTAATTATATTTATATATTCCTTTGAAAAAAGGAAAATGAAAACTATATAGTAGTCTATTGCAATAATTACATCATTATATTATAGTTTGAAAACAAAAAACACTTTAGGAATCTATTTCAATATTAAATGTATTATTTGAATTTGGTAAAACAATTTTAGTAAATAATGATAATATAATTTGACTAATAAAATTTTTAGTTGCCACCCTGTAGTTCACTATGTTAAATTTTAAATATGAAAGCTTTAAATGGTCCCATGGAATGACAGAATTGAAGCAACTCAAGTTCTGGTTCTTCATTTCATAATCACTGTGCTATCATTGTTTATTCTGAACCTATTGTTTCAACACAGACATATGGTGTACCAAAGGGGCTGGAGACACAAGTACTCAGGAAACGAGTTTGAACGATTCCAGGCTGTTGTGCACTTAGTCTCAAAATTAATGTGGGTAGCTATGTCTGATTTGGCCTGTGTTTGGGGCTGACTATATAACTAGGAGTGCTCTGAATTAATGTCCTTGTAGAATATAATGTTTATTAGTATGTAAGTAATTAAAATAGGCTGATTCGAAGCTTAGGAATATTAAGATTCAAGTTAAATCAACAACTTTATCTTCAAGGAAGGGAATTTTATCAGTGACATGGTTCAGAATTGTGGGCACATGGTGATATTAAAATGCAGACTGACTTTCAATCAGTTTTACTATTGTTTTTAAATTCCCTGCAGACAGTACGCCTCCTCATGGCCGGCACAACTCCAGTTGGTACACCACAGCAGAGCAGGAGCTCCATGAGATCAGAGGGCCCACGGGATTGCTACTCTTACCGTTGTATCTTGTATCCCAGCACCCAGCAGAGCTTGGCACAACATAGCCTTTGAATATCTGTTCAGTGAAGGGAGGAAGGAGCCAATAAGGTATGGGCGTGGCTAACTCAGGAGTGGGCGTGGGTGTTCCAGACACCATCATACAACTCCACTCACCCCAAGTGTGGGTAGCTCCAAAACATCAGTCTGCAAACTGGCATGGTCCTCAAAGACATTCATAATGAAGAGAAAGAACAATAACAGCAAGGTAATTCGTTTTTTGATTCATCAAAATGTCTTATTTAAAAAATGAAGAGATTATGATCATATATGTGTGTGTGAGTGTGTGTGTGTACTACAGGGCTCTTTTACTGAATAATCTAGAACTATATATGTGGTCTTGAGCACTTAAATATGGCTAGTGAGAAGCGAAATGTGCTATACTGCAAAATTCTCACCACTTTTCAAAGACAGCATAAACAGATGTAAAATATCACATTAATATTTTTTCTATTTGATTATATGTTGAGATTATAATATTTTGGATATATTGAGTTAAATAAAATATATTAAAATCAATTCCACCTGTTTTCTTTGTTACTTTTTTAAATGTGGCTTCTGGAAAATTTAAATTACATTTATGGTTTGGATTGTATTCTAATAATAGTACTAGTATAGAAGATGGCAGTTTTTCTCATCTTTATTTAGCAGAATTAAAAGTTGGCAATCTTTTGGACCCTAAATTTTAAAATTTGTGCTTTTGCGGGTCTGGGTAGGGCAGTATTTTTTTAACTTGTCTGTGAAATCCCAGTCTTAAAATCCCTGATGGAATGCTGGGTTACCAATCCATGAGATGTGGTTTGAGACTCAGAGAAACACAAGGCAGAGGAGAGAGAATTGGGGGACCTGGTCACAGATGAGGACAGCATCAGAATTATTTTTGCAGCATTAGTACAACTGATGGAATTGGGGAATAGTCAGATTGGGAGAAGGAAGGGGACGGTGACTAGATGGGAGAGAGGATTTTGTTTGGATAGTGGGTCTCATCTGGTGACTCTGAACCCACACACCATTTGTCCATCTCTACGCCTCCTGGAGCATAATCCTTACCCCCTACAATCTGACTCTGAAATTCACTAGACTTTTCCCTTTGGGGGTGACTATATAATTTATCATGAAAGAAGATACTATTAATAATTTTGCCGGAACAACAGAAATAAACTGAGACTGCCTGAGTAAACTGGGAGATAAGTCATCTTCAACTGGGGCTTTAAACAATCGAAGCATTCAGGATATTAAGTCAAACTTTGTTCAATGTTATGAGTTTTTAGGGAGTTACTTTAACTCCTTTGCCTCAGTTTCCTCATCTGCAAAATTGGAAGAGTATAATAGTTCAGGATATGGGACATGGTAAAGGTTCAATGAGTGGTAGCTATAATAAGAGTTAACACAACAAAAATTATTTTTTAAAACAAAAAGGTAAAACTATAGAGACAGTAAAAAGATGTTTGGTTATCAGAGTTTGTCGGGGAAAGGGTCAAATAGGTAAAACAGAACGATGAAACTTCTGTATCATACTGTAATGGTGGATACAAGATATTATGCATTTGTCAAAACCCATAGAACTGTACAACACAAAAAGTGAACCTTAATGCATGAAAATTAAAAAAAAAAAATCACTTAGGACATCTGGAGAGTCCCAAGATGGAATACAGCATGTGACAAAACAACTGTGTTTACAAAGATAGGAAACAACTTCACTGCAGGGGATGGGGAAAAGTGTGCTGACTTAAGTAACTTTAAAAATGAGTGGACTCTGTAGAACTAACAGCATAAGAAAGTGTACAGAAGTACTGCACTCTAGTTGATAAACTTTCCCATGAGGGTATGGGTTAGCAATGCTGATACTGCTTTATGCGTATACTGGAATTGAATGATTAAGTAAATGGGTGATGAGAGCCAGGTTTCTCACTGTTGGAGTGAGAATTTACAGATAAGTAAGAAAAAGAGACTAGAATGATTCAGGTAGTAATGGATGAGAGTTGTAAATATAAATGTGAACTTATGTTTAACTTAATATAGATACAGATGGTTACATACAGAAATATTTATAGGTATGTGATAAACACAGGTTAGTGTATACACATATTTCTTTGTTCTGTTAGTTGAGGCTTCAAAGAAAAAACACCCAGCAATGAGCACACTTAGTGCCCAGACCTTGGTTTCTAATATCATTCTCCAACAGAAAAAATCAGGGCTGAATTCCATTGAGAAATGGTTGATTCTAGGACTGGGGCAGGAAAGATACCAGATAAGCCTGGGGCATCATATAGTGCCAGAAAGTAAGGAAATGCTTAACAACAATGAAAAGAAAAGACACACAAAGATGGGGGTATGTCAGAGGGACACAGGAGCCAAGTAAAAGAGCTGCCAAAGGCCAAAGCTGGAACAATGAGAACAACAAAATTAAGTAGTATCGGAATATAACCTAAAATATGAAATATCTATGAGTTCATAGTGAAATAAATAACTGAATAAAAAGAGGAAAAGAGACAAATCTTTAATGCAGAAAAATTCCAAATATCTTATGTAAATAGGCCGCACTCAAAGAGGTGGAACATAACTTCCCCTTCCTTAAGTGCAGGCTAAGCATAGTTACTTCCTTCCAAAGAGGACAGCATGAAAAGGGGTAAGAGATAACTTTACAGTGCAGAAACCTGACAAATAGTACCTCAGCCAGGTCATCAAGGTCAACACCAACAGGGATAAGTCATGTTGATGTCTGAGAAACTGCCACAACAAAGAGGAACCTAAGGAGACATGAGATAAATGCGATGTGATTTCTTGATGGGATCCTGGGATAGAAAAAAAAGGATCCTAGGATAGAAGAGTTTTTCCTTGAGTAAAAACTAACGAAATCTGAATAAACTATGAACTTTAGTTAATAACAAGGTATTGATACTGGTTTACTAATTTAACAAATATGCCATATTAATGTAAGATGTTAATAGAAGAAACAGGGTGGATGGGTGATAGAGGAGCTTTGTATTATCTTTGCAATGTTTCTGCAAATCTAAAGATGTTCTAAAAAGTCGTTTACTTTTTAAAAAATAGCACAGGGTGTCAAAAAGACATTTAGTTTATTTAGACTTTAGAGCGCCAAAGCCATTACACAGCCTGCCTTAAAAAGGGAATTTCTTCAGTGGGTTAAGAGAAATATTCATTTATCCTACTGTTTTAATACGTTTTGAATCCAAGAGTTAAATTGTCCAGTAAATGTCGCCTACCAATTACTTGAGTCAATGTCTCATGAAGTCAGCATCAAAAATTTCGCGTGTTTAATTTGTATGTATCTGAAATACAAACGAGGAAAAATGACTAGGTCCTTGATAATTTTAAATTAAATGAAAATAAAAGAAATCCACACAGAGCAGGCATCAATCCCATTGCCTAAATTTTCATTGCCTGAAATTGTTTTAGTAGAGTGACATATATTGTGTAATTGGAACAGTTTTGTTCTCCTTAAATAAAATATTAGCCAAAGATTATTCAGGCTGCAACTGACAGGCGTTACTGCTAGTTCTTTCTAATTTAGAGAATTCCTTTTTCTTTTCTTTTTCTTTTTTTTTTTTTGAAAAATTGAGTCTGTTGCTACTTTGAAGCTAGAGGGAGAGCAGGGTCGAAGCTCATTGGTGGTGTCCCTGGGCCGAGGGCAGGCTCTAAGCCAAAGGACCTGCTCATTGGTGGGCTCCCCGGCAGCTGTTCGGGGGGCGCCTGGGATGGAGCTCGGAGCCCATTGGCTGAGTCACTGGAAGATGGTGTAACGGACCGCTAAGGCCTGTGCAGCCGGTTTCTACGGCAACGGAGGCTTGAAAGAGCCACTCATATTTCGGCGTTCTCCCCCAACTCCCCCTTCCGGTGGGGGCAGGGCGGCCTGGATTTGAGGGCCGGTGCTGGAGGCGTGGGGGCTGGGAGTTAAGGGGACAGGGACTTCTTCCCACCAGCCAACCTGGCAAAGGAACATTTGAACTGGGTTTGGGGAACCTGGCCTGCGTGCTCATTGGGAAAAAAAACAGCCAAACAAAAGCACAAAGAAGAAAAAGAAAAACGACATATAATTCCACCCTCTCCTGACCTCTCCATCAGTAACGTTTCGTCTGCGAACGAACACAAAGCCTGGCACAGAGTAGGAACTGAATACCTAATGGGAAGGAGAAAGAAAGGAAGGCAAGAAGAAAGAGAAGGAGAGAGGGAGGGAGACTCCAGGATGTGGACAATGTGGCGTGAGACAAAATGCCCTCCCTATTGGGCGGAAAGTCCACAGAACCCTAGATCTAACCAAGTATGACAGCCTTCGCTATGGGGGCTTGAAGGAGAAAGGGGTCGCCGGTGCACAAGAAGGAGGGAGGGAGAGGGCGGCAAACAGGATCGTAACTAGGTATTTGGGAGACTTGACTCTGCTGTAGGATTCCGTGGGTTCACCTTCCCGCTGGCTCTGCCACTTAACAGCTGCCAGTGCTTCAACTCTCCAGATAGCAGTATCTTTGTTTGTTAAGTAAAAAAAACCAAAAACAAACAGTATCTACTTCATTGAGTTGGTGTCAGAACTGAGTTGCAATAATATATGTCAAGTTCTTAATACCATGCCTAGAACATAGTAAACGTTCAATCACCAGTAGCTATTATAACTGAAGAAGGGGTAAAATTTGACTTGGTGGAAAAAATAGAGAGGTTATCATTATTGTGGTAAGGAGAGAGTGGGGTAGTGTGGAAATCCTACAAAAGAGACCAGTTTGGTTGTCATATAGAAAAGCATGGGAGATGATAGCCAAAAGGCATAAAAGAAAAAATAGTTAACTGTTCACTGAGTGCCTGGCCCTCTGCCAAGTCCTTTACATGAATTGATTTCATTTTTTCACTAGCCCTGATGAGGCAGTTACCATTAAACCCATTTTTCTGGTAAGGAAACAGGCCCAGAAAGGTTTTAAAGCTTGTCTGAGCTAAGAAATGACATAACCATACAGGCATTTGGGAGGCCCAGGACAAAAGTACAACTGGAGGTCCATATAACATATGTCTCTAAATAGTTAGGAATTATACAACAGTGTACAGTAATATGTTAAATATGTTCTGTTCTCCTTGTTGGATGTACTGTCATAACTACCTGGATGACCAGGTTTGAATTATAGTTCTAGGACCCTTGGAATTCTGGGGCAGTATATTGGCCGGTCCAAGGAGAGCTATCCCCTGGATCCTGCATCTAGCCCTTGTCCAACTACCTCCCAGCCTATCAGTGAGGGACTCGGCATGCATAAGTGGACATCTCAGCCCCCACATCCAAGCTGTCTTAAAAACAGTTACTTTGAGACCTAAGCCTGAGGTCTGTAAGGTGTGCATCAGGCAGTGCAGTTGCCCTCAGCTGAGATGGACCCAGGAAATGAGACCCACAAAGGCTCTGTAAACAATCCTAAGGATATTTTGGAAGGGAATT